ACAGGATTTCCCTCACGTAAGCTAGCTCAGTCTGTTCTAATACTGTTCTAATACAACTAGGTAAGAGTTTTCCAAAGAGAATAAATGCTACATAAAATATACTACCTTTAGGATAGAGTTCTTAAATCAAAGACATAGAATAATGAATATTTGGTTTTATTTATTTGCCAACCACAGCTAACCTTAGTCTTATGACAAGAAAGGAAAGTTTTCTTTGTGCACATTTCCTGTATAGGTTGATTTTCACGCCTGAGACTGAAAGACTTGACTTTAACTAAGGATAAACCAGGTAACACTGTAAGAGAAAAGAATCAGTAACAATGGATTTAAGATTTACAGGGTTTACACACCAAGTTTTTGGTAGTGCAGAAGTGCAGGAGGATTTTCTCTGAGAGTGGGAGCTGGGCCCCCCCCCCCCCAACCCCAATTCCAGACTTAGGCAGCTCCAGCTGGATGCAAAAGGCGAGTGTCATTGGCCAAAGCTGAGACACAAGCAACATTAACACTGACTGTGCCTCCAAGACAGCAGATTTATGAAAGGATAAAAAACGCTGCACAGCAAATGTGAAAAAGGAGAAAACGTAGGGAAACCATCACACAGACAGCCAGGTCAGTGCAGAGAGCAGATAAAAGATGCTCCAAGCATTCCCCACAGCCCAGGAGAGGCCCATAGTAGAGCAGGCTGTCTCCCTGAAACTCACAGGCACCACCACACGGAGCAGATCTCCACATGCAGCCATGGAGGAGCCCACAGGGCAGCAGTGGATGAGACCTGAAGGAGGCACAGCCCATGCTGAGCCCAGTCAGGAGCTGGTTCAGAGAGAAGCCACAATGGGGAAGGCAGGCTGTGGAAGCTGCTGCCCATGGGGACCCATGCCGGAGCAGTTCCTGAAGGATAGATCCCATAGTATGGAGCCATGTTGGAGCTGCAACCCAAGGGAAGCCTGTTCCCTTGAAACAGGATCAGTTTGGGAAGGACGGCATCTTGTGTGAGGGATCCCATACAGGAGCACGAGCAAAGCACGTTGAGGAAGGAGCAGCAGAGAAATTCCTAGAAACTGTCTGCAAGCCTCATTCACTGTCCTGCTGTGCCACTCAGGGTTGAGAGAGGAGGTAGAAGAACCAAAACTGAAGTTGAGCCTGAGAAGAATGGATGGGGAAAGCATGTGCTTTTAGTTTGATTTCTCACTACTACTCCTTCTACTCTTATTCATTAACAGTAAATTTGTCTTCCCCAGGTCAGGTCTGTTTTGCCTGTGATGGTAATTGCTGAGCCATCTCCCTCTCCTAATATTGGCCCATGAGGTTTCTCATCTTATTTTCTTGCTGAGAAAGGGGAGTGAAGGAGCAGCACAGCTAGCAACTGGCTGCCAGCCAAGGTTAACCCACCACACAAGAGATGCAGAACGTTAAACATCAGCTAAGATAATTGCAAAGCTATTCACATCATGTACCACTATACAGGCAAATTAATCAGAATAAATTGTTTATGGTATCAACTTTGATCTCTTCATCCTGTTTCTAAAAAGCACATAGAACTTCACAGTCATAAGACTGGCATCTCTGAGAAAACAAAAACAAACAAACAAACAAAAAAAAACAACACAACCCAGTGTCTTTAATCCTTACAGTGCTGTACAATAGCAGGCTGTGGTTTTGGAAACCTTGCCCCCCCCTTTTTCCCCAACAATAAGTCAAAGATTCATGGCCCAGAACAGCCCAGATCATCCCAGAACAACCCAAAGCTTTAATCAAAAAGGACTTGGGGGAAGTTTATTACATTTCTTAAACATTTCAACATACAAATTCTTTACCTTATAATGGGATTTATGCACCTAAATCACTGACATGCATTTGAAGTCCTCCCTCATGACTCATTTACCTGAAAAATCCTTTCACAGGAAAAGGCCATCCCAAGCTTTAGTACTTAGTTGCTCACTCATTTTTACACACTGCAGGGGGAAAAAAAAAAAAGCATTTCTTTTGCTTTGCTTGAGTATGGATTCACAAAGCAGCATTCGCATCACTTTTTCTGCAAACAAGCTGCAGTAGGAGCAGACATCTCAAACAGTAAGATAGCAATGCACAAATTAAGGTCAGATGACGAAGAACAAGTAGGTAAAAAGAATCACAACGATCACTCAGTGAATAAATTTCATTATAATCTCCTAATGCTGATGTCTCAGTCCTTCTGTTCAACAAGGAGCAGAAAACAGAAATTAAAAAAAAGAAAACAAGAAAGGGAAACAGCTGAAAACGTCAAAAAATAATGTAAAATTTAAGACATGTACTGAAGGGATTGTTGTATGTAAGTAAGAGAAAGAAAAAAAAGTATAGTAAAGTAAGAAAACCAAGATTGGCTAACTCATTTCTGATGTCATATATTCCTGCAGGGAGACATGACAAATTCTTACCCATCAATTAGTTGTCTTTCTGACCTATGAAGAAGGGACAAAAAGGAGGGGGCAGAACGCAATACAAGTCACACACGCCTGCGGCAGAGAGTTACATAATGCTGATTTACTGACTGCTCTGCGTTTACAACACTTTGCTACAATTCCAAATAGCAGCTTTCTCTGTATCGTTGGAAGGTTCTTAAACTGTTGTGGGTTTTTTGTGTTTTTTTGTTTGTTTGTTTGTTTTTCAATGTAACACAGAAGGAAAAGAAAGAACAAGAATTTAGCACTGGTATTTTCATGTAAATCAATGAAGATAAACCAAAGGCTGACTTTATATGAAACAAAGTCTTAAGAGTGGCTTGTGGTCTAAAGCTTAAAATTAAAGCACCCACCTTTAAGCCTTTCAGTTTAATGTATTTAGAGAAAGCACCAGCAGAAAGAGGCAGCAGTAATACAGCTCCCTTAACTTCACTAAAAGTCCTACTGTCACTGACATAGAGATGTAAACCAGTAATTCTGCTATGATTTAGAAGAGAACTCGCACTAAATAGAGCAAAGAAAGATTAGTTAGAAGCAAAGGCAGATTGGCAAAAATGGGGGTGGGAGGATGAAGTGCATGGAGTGCTTATTTTTCATGAAGCAAAACAAAAAAAGATATACAATGAATACATCAGAACTGATCAGTTTTCAAAAACTTAACACTAGAGAACAGTACGCCTACAAAAATACTGCAGTGTTAGCACATTAAGTAGTATCCACCTTAGTATTTTGTCCTTAAAGATGACTAAATAGCCATAAAATCTACAGTAATCTATTGCCTACTACCTGTCACAGATGTTACATAAGGAAATACCTCCTAACAAAATCACAAGCTGGAATAAACAGGTGATTAAGTACATTTGCAGCTGTCAGGTCCTACCATTCTCTGATTCAATACAGTAAATAAATAGCATTACCAAAATCTCAATGTCTGGCAGTCAGATATTCTGAAGAGAAGATAAAACAGCATGGTCTTACAGGATAGCAATGAGGAAGGCATTTTAAACCTTTTTTAAAACTACATTTTAAAATTACAGTTTAAAACTACAGTTTCATTATGACTCACAATAAATTCAAAGGAACTAAAGAGTGTTGTCACTATGAAGGCTTCAGAGAACACTTCCATAACAAAATAGTGACTTAAACCAACCACAAAGCTTACTGCACATGGAAAACCAAATGGGCCAACTAACATTAGGATCAGCCCTTTTGGAAGGCCACACCAGGAAGCTTTTATCCAACGCTGGGCACCAGCACCATGGCTGGAAGTTCCAGTCAAATAGAACAAAAATATTAAGAGGCAAGTTATCTCTGTTTCATTCTCCAATGCTTTTTTCTACTCCTTTGAGTAAGAGAACTACAGTTTCTAAGGGGTTTTAAAACAGACCCAGGTTACTTCAGGCCTCAGGGAGGACATAGCATTTGAAGGCTTTTAAGAAATGGCTCTGCCAGCATTTTCTTTCTCCTTTTCAAAGAGCAAGAAATGACTCCAGGACTTCTGCTGACTCTAAATTACAGTCATGTGGCATGGGAAAAAGTATGCATGGACTCAGAAAGCACTTCAGGACCCACTGCTGCTCTGAAGGCATGCATTGCCCCTCTGAGGTCACAGGCTGCTATGTTTGCCAGCTGTTTGACAACCACTACGTATCATCACACAAGGACAGAAGCCCCACACAGTCCCTAGGGCTCCCAATGGAAACACTCTGAACCCACACAAGGGATTTCCTTTTATGACTCTCAGCATTATAGCCTAGAAACAATGTGATAAATAAATACTGACTTACGTTACATAAAAAGTAACACGAGTTTACGGCCTGGACCCAAAGGCAACATTGATGTCCAGGGAAATGGGTAAATCAGACCCAGACACGCAGAGAGACGCAAAACACAGTAGATGTAATTACTTCTGTTTCCTCCGTTCAAGGTGCCAAAAACAGCATCGTAGCCAGGATTTAGGCAAAAGCCTGTTATCAAAAATCCAAACCACAGCCAGTAACGCAAGCTTCAGGGTTCTGTAGCATACCCTCAGCAAAGCCACGAAGTACAGGAACCAAAGGATCAAACACAGACTTCTAAGCAAACTGGCTGCACCCACACCATTTCAAAAGCCTTTACTCCCAAATCGAGCGCGCTTTAGGAGGAACGAAGGAGCATTTACCCGGGGCTGCAGGCTAACCACGGTAAGCCCCGGCTCCCGTGTGCCTGCACACACGGACCGCCGGAGCCCCGCGCACCCCGCGGCCCATCCCCACGAACCGCTCGCGAAGGGGAGGGCTGTAACGCGCCGCCCGGCTCCCCGCGCCCCGCCGGATCCCCGCGACAGCCCCCGGCCTTCCCGCAGGAACTGCGCCGTGCAGAGGACAGACGGCACCCGCAGCCCCTCCGGGCGACCCGAGGACGAGGCCCCGCCGGAAGGAGGGGAGGGGGCGGGCGACGTCGGCTTTCCGCCCAGGCGGGCCGTGCTGGCCGCCCCCGAGGGCCTCAGCCACGCACCGCCGACAAAACGGGGGAAGAAAAAACCCAACGGTTGGAGAGCACCACGCGAGCCCCGGCGCTTACCACTTGGTAGCGGCTGGCGGGCTGATGGTGCTCCATCCCTGCCGCCGAAGCTCCACCGCTCGCCCTTCCCCCACCCGCTCCACCAGAGCCGCCTCCGCCTCGGCCCTTCCCCCCGCGGCGGAGCCTCCTCCGCTCCACCTCCACCCCCGCCCCGGTGGGGCCCAGCAGCCCCGCCCCATCCCGCCCGCTTCCGTGACGCGCTGTCCCCACCCCCCAGAGCCCGGCGGGCGCGCATGCGAGGTAAATCGATGCCGACCTGCTACGCATCAGTGGCGTCTGTGTGCTCTGAGGGCACAACTTCTATCTGCAGCGATGGAGATATTTTTGCAATCGTGGGGCACAACCCACTTGGGGTGGGGTCTCAAGACAAAGCTGCACACCACTGCAGAGGCTGCAAGGAGCTTTAAGTCATAGAATCGTTAAGGCTGGAAAAGACCAGTAAGATTATCTAGTCCAACCATCAGCCCACCACCACCATGCTCACTAACTATGTCCCTCAGTGCCACATCTACACGTTTATTGTACACCTACAGGCATGGTGAGTCCACCACCTCCCTGAGCAACCCATTCCAGCGCCTGACCACTCTTTCAGAGAAATTTTTGCTATATCCAACCTAAACCTGCTCAGATGCAACTTGAGGCCATTCCTCCTAGTCCTATCACTGGTTATGAGGGAGGAGAGGCCAACCCTCACATTGCCACGGCCTCCTTTCAGGGATTTGTAGGGAGAGGTGGTCCTCTGAGCCACCTCTTCTCCATAATGAACAATCCCAGCTCCCTCAGCCATTCTCCATAAGACCTGTGATCCAGACCCCTCACCAGCTTTGTTGCCAGAAAAGCTGGACACACTCCAGGGCTTTTTGTAGCGAGAGACCCAAAACTGAACACAGCACTCAAAGTGCAGACTTGCCAGTGCTGAGTAGAATTGGACAATCACCTCCCTGCTCGTGCTGGCGAAACTATTTTTGACACAGGCCAGGATGCCATTGGCCACCTTGGCCACCTAAGCACACTGATGGCTTGTTTTCTACCCATCAACCAACACTCCCAAGTCCTTTTCTTCTATGCAGCTTTCCAGCCACTCTACCCCAAGTCTGTAGCATTCCATGGGGCTGCTGTGACCAAATCACAGGACCGGCACTTGGTCTTGTTGAGCTTCAGCCCATTCATCCAACCTGTCCAGATTCCTCTGTAGGACCTTCCTACCTTCATGCAGATTGACACTTCCTGCCAACTTAGTGTCATCTGCAGACTTACTGATGGTGCCCTGAGTTCCCTTTACCAAACCATCAGTAAATATATTAAACAGGGTTGGCCTCAATGCCAACCCCTAGGGAACATCATATGTGACCAGTCATCGGATAGCTTTACCTCCTTTCACCACCACTCTCTGGGCCTGGCCCTCTACCCAGATTTTTACCCAGGAGAGAGTACACCTGAACCTTGCATGTGTGTGTGCAGGAGATCAGAGAAGTGGAGAGAGCTCCTGGGCTGGTGTTTGGGCAGGGTGGGAGAAAAGCTGGGCATGATGATGAAGCAGAGGGGCAGGACACACAGTGGACCCAGCATAAAGCCTCACCTGTAGGCAGCTTCTGGCACACATGGCAGTCAGTAAGCTACCTCAGCTGGCCTGGTTTGGGAACGTGGGACCTGCAGTGCTCTGTTGCATTTCTTACTGCTTTTCACAGGAGAACTTTGTTGGGCATGAAAACCCTAGCAGTCTGGAAACAAAATTGGCGGAGAATATAGGTTAGAAATGGATTAGTGTTATTATTGTCCTTGCAGGATTTCCTCCTTTTTCCTCTGCCTATACACATAATGAAAGTTACTATGTTTAATTATTCTCTCCTATAAAGGAACAGTCATTCGTAAAGTAGCAAAGGCCATGTTGATTTTAAAAATAGTGTGCACAGAGTGTGTACAGAGCACTGTTCAGTGCTTCCATTATGTAATGTAAGGAAAATCTCATAATTGTATTACCAGACTTCATGGCAAATGGAATTTAGATTGTTCATGTAATAAATTTAACTTCCAGCATCTTCTGTACTTTTAGGAACAAATTTCCTAAAAGTAAACTTTGAAGTGCCCATGTAACATCTTTGGCAGATCTATGTATTTTCAAAATAGTGGTAGCTCTGTATTTTTTGTTTAACTGACTGGTTCCAGAGGTTTTGACTATTAATCTGTATTGCAAAGTAATCAGCAAGCACTGAAACAACTTTGAGTATATAATGAAGGTGAGACTTCTACTTCAGAACAACTTGGACTCTGATGAACAAGTCACGTTGACTAAAATACTTGACTATCAGTTTTAATATTTAAGTTTTCAGCTTGACCTTAAATTTTGAGGGCGTACAGTGGCAGCAATTGCTATCACAGTTTTCTGCATCATGTAGTAAATTTTTTACTGTGAAAGAGCTGTGATTATGGAACATGCTCATCGTATGAAGAAAATATGATAATAAAGAAAACAGTGGTGTAAAAATGAAATTTGAAAAACAAACAGATAAACAAAAACATTCATTTAGTTTTGTTTGGAGAAAGAAGAAACCTATTTGCTTTTAGTCACTAAGTTTGCAACAGTTTAAACTTTGCCCTACCATGCAACTGAGCCAACAAAGGAGTTCTTGGTAAAAACAATTGTTGCAAGCTCAGATCTGTGAAAAGTTGACTTAAGAACATGATCCAAATTCAGATAAACCTCCATAAAATTTCTGACCTCTATGTTGATTTAGATAGCCATTTTAAGCAGGAAGATGGCTTAAAGAAACCACTGGGATTTAATTTTTTAGAAAGAAACAGCAGGAGGTGTCCTCCATCTGTTCTTCTTTTCTAGGTAACACAGGCAATGCCAGAGCCATTCTTAACAGGACCACTAGGCTATATTTAAGATTTCCTAGCTGAACACAGACTCCCAATTACACTGTCATCCTGCTTATTCAGTGTGTATATACATGCATAAAATCTTGCAGTGCTGGCTCTTGTATATGTCCAAATACCATGCAGATACAACTGAACAAGCTTTAACTGTAATTCCTGCAGCACACAGCTCAGAGTGGGAAACATCTCAAATATTTGCCTTGGTTTAGGATGAATTTGGTAGTCTGCACCAATCTCTCTGTTGCCACAGCTATTTCCTGTTAGTCACAGAGATGGTTTAAAACTAGTTCAGGTATATCCTGACAAGCTTGTCACAGCTGTGCAAATTATACTTTGTCAAAATTTGTAGCATGGTCAGAGCTCTACGTGACTCTGAGACTGCTCACAGTAATTCCCTTTGCTGGCCATGAACATGGTTAAAAACAAAAGAAACAGTAGAAGTGAGGAAAAGTTATCTGCCAAACAGATGTAGGTATGCTTAAAGCAAATTCAGGAAGTCAATGCTCGCAGTAGCATTTGTGCAGCTTCTTCAGCATATCTTGGTGTTTCTGTACAACTACTACTGCTGCTACTACTACTACTGCTACTGCTACTACTACTAATAATAATAATGTAGGCTGCCACTTGAGATTTTTTTTTTTTTTTTTCATAATTTTGTGGATTAAGCTGTGAATCGAGGAGAAATTGTACTGAGTCCATCAGTAGAAGCTGCTGAAGTGTATGACTGTCTCTGAGAACAGGTATGTATGGTACAGCTTTTTCAGCAATTTTTAAGATACCGACATGAATGTTAAAGCCCTAGTCTTGGCAATGCCTAATACGTGCTGTTACAGAAATAATACTGTTCTAAAAAAATCCCCAAATGACTTTGAAGTTTCTATTTAACAAACAGAGCTGAATGGAATGTGCATAAGTCAGACAGAGTCAATAAAAGTGATGACAGAAAAAGAGAAATACAGAATAAAGAATGTAAACATACGACAAATGAAGTGAAGAAATGTGGGAAAATATCTCCTGTTAAAAAACAATGAACAAAAAATATCAACCCCAAACCTTGAGATACGATGAGAAAAATGCAAGAAAAGGTAGGAAATACAGATGGCAATGTACTTTGTGCATTGATGATCAATACAGATGGATACTGTGAATATAAATCCACTGCTATTATGAAGTCTTGTTCGGAGAAGATACTCCACTATCCTGGCAATGCTTATATTTTTTGTACTAACAACTTGGTATAATTAAGTACAAAACAGTTTTTTCAATGTATTCCTTAGGAAATAGAGTATTCAAATATTTGTTCACCTACAATCCAAAAGTTACTTTTCTAAAACTGATTTTCAGTCTCATCAGAATGAAGAGAAGACTGTCTCCATGTTAAAACATGTTGAGCATAATTACACAAGATCAAGTACACGATAAATCTAAACAGTAAAGGCCTGGATATTATCTGAAAATCGTTTTGTTTTACAAGGAGAACTGGAGAGGCTGAGGAATAGATACACAAGTAACTTCTTGCATGTGTAGTGGTAGTGTTGCTTTGAAATATTAACTGCAATGCATGGCCTCTGTCCTACAGGAACAGGAGGAAGCTGAGTATATATTCACACTTAAGTTGCTACAAGGTCAGTAAGTTTAATGTGTTGGCATTTTTCCTAGCACTTACAATACAATACAAGAATCTGCTTGAAAAAGCTATAAAATGAATTTTTATTGCCAAAACAATGCTAATGATTCAAATTAGATGTCCCGTGACATACTGTCCTGCACAGAACAGATAATAGTTTTATTCTAGACAACATTTCCTTTGTTCACCATTATTTATGCTTCATATATGCACAGGTCTTGAGCAAGCTTTATGCCTGAATTGATTTTCTTCTATATAAAAGAAAGCTCTACATAAATTATAAGCCTCTTGTGTTAGGAACCGCTATTTTATTCTGTTTATAATACAACTGCATTAAAAAACATACAGTTCAGCACTGTGGGTCTCTATAAAGCCAACTTGGCTTCCTTTGGAAGTAAGTCAAGAATAAAAACAAAAATATAGGATTACCATATAATTAACTACCATATCATAATCCAAATCTAGTCAGCTGCAGCACTAAGAATAAATTTTGCCTAAGGCCTCATGCCTTGACTTTTCTCTTGGTAGTCCATAACATTCTGTATTTTGCAAAGCCCTTCAAAAGGCATTTAGAGAATTTCAGACATACA